AAACTCAATGAAAATGAAGCTTGGAAAGGTGAAGTTGACCTTGTTGAGTTGCACACGCAGTAAATGCAAAGTAGAGGAAGAACGTCCAAGGCAAAAGGTATTGAAACGATACAAACAGGATTTAGGGTTCACTTTGGGGGGCACTTGGAATCATCACGGGATTTAGGGTACGTTAGGGAGCCACGTATTGGTAGAGAGGGTTTAGGATATTCTTTTTCTGATTTCTTTTGAGAGGGAAGTGAAAAGATTTTGTTTAATCTTTTGAGAGGGAACATACTGGTGTAGAGCCACATACTAATTTCTTTTTGTTTTATCTTTTAGAGAAAAAATATTTAAGTAGGAGAATAATTTTTAATTAGAAGAAATTATAAACCTCTATAAATTAAAATAATATTTTAATTAGGAGAGGTTATAAACCTCTGTAAATTAAACAAAAAAATGCAGATTTTAATAATTTAAGGAGGGTTTTAAAACCTTTGCAAAATAACCTCCACTATTTATCATTTTTTTGTAGTGTATATTGAGGACAATGTGAATTTTAAGAGTGGAGGTGATTTGTTATTTTTAGTAAAAAATAATATACTTTTTGTTTTTTTTTTTTGTATGGATATGTTTTTTGTATTCTTTATTATTTCGTTTTTAAATCTGTTTTTTTTCTGTATTTGTTTTACTATAACTATTTTTTTTTTATTTCTATATCATTTCTATTTTCTGTATCTATTTTCTTTTGTTGTTACTATTTCTCTAATCTATTGTTGATTACTTTTCTGTTTCTGTATTTATTTTCAGTTTTGTTTTCTTTACTCTATTTTTGTCCTATTTATTTTTTTGTATATTTCTCTATTTTCTGTATTTTATTTTTTATTCTATTGTTATTTTGTATATTGTATTATGTTTCTGTTTTTAATTTCTATATTTTTTATTTTTTTTTGTTTCTATATTTTTGTTGTTTTGGTTGTAAAAAGAAAAAAAAAGTTAGTAAATACATAAATTTCCATACTTTCTTTTGAATTTCTAAATGTATGAATTGTGAAAGTTATTGCATAATTTTTAGTTGATAGGTTGCAATACTTCATGAGTCCTTTTTACATTTTTAGTATAGTAAGTTGCTTGAAAAATTAAAGTTTGATTCATTAGTGATATAGTACCCGATTTAATATATCAAGTTTTACCCGTACCCGTACCTGGTCAAACTAGGTATTCCCCGTTAAAGTCTGGACAGGTTCGAGTATTACCCGCGGGTACGGGTATATTTGTCATCCCTAGGTGTGACAATAGGAATAATTTTTTACACGATTATGTTGTTCTCTAATATCCATCTATGTTCTAATCCTGCTGGACTTTGGCCGACCCTTAGAAGTGCTCTTGAGTTTTAGATTTGGCCACATAGTTGGACCAGTGTAAGTAGGCCAATAATCTTCATGTCGGAGCTCTCCAAACTGTCCTTCGTATACCTTTGCAACTTGTTGTAAGGTATATATGGGAGATATGTAGATTTGATAGTTGTGATGTGCATGTAAGCATGAAGCAAGTACATGCGAGCAAGGGATATGAACTTTCTGGAACTTTCCACAATCACACCACATTTCATCTAGCCTTACTGTAAATCTCCCAGCGGGTCGAACTTCTCCTGGATGTTGCGTTTCTTCCACTAGAAATCTAGTGCTTGATCTTTCAAAGGTGATAACTCTATGAGTATTTGCCTTGGACTGTGCATCTTGAATAGTTTTACTTGCAATTTCTGAGTAGACATGTCCAGCATTAATCATTGCATCCACTTCCCTGCCTCTTTGAACAAAAAACTTGTTGCAACGAGTGTATGTAGCCATTACCATAGGAATTATGTTGTTGCGACCATCTTGCGCAACTGCAACCAATAACGTACCTTTGTATTTATCGTATAAAAAGGTTTCATCAACTTGAACAATTGGTTTGCAGAAGGCAAAACCATCAATGCATGGTTTAAAGGTCCAAAATAACCTTTTGAATATAACATTCCCCTCTTCCAATAAGCCACCTTGGTAAGCCGGTTGTGTATTAAATTTCCAAATAAAGCCTGGAACATACATTTGCATTGCTTGCAACATACCTGGTAACTTGTTGTATGACTCCTCCCAGTTTCCAAAGATGTTTTCAATGGCATGTTGCTTGGCCAACCATCCCTTTTTGTAACTAATTGTATAACCCATGGTCAACTTGATGTGGGCTATGATGGTTGAAATGGGTGTAGATGGATTAGCCTTAATAATTTCACAAATGGTTTGAGAAATCATTTGTGATCCCAATTTATTATGATCTTGGGAGATGAGTGAAGAAACACATGTGTGAGGGCCTTCAAGGATCATGATTTTCCAATGTTGTTCTCTAGTGCGCAATATAGCAAGACATCTCCAGGCACAGTCATTGTGAACGCATTCCACGAGAAGCCTAGTAGTGTTTGAGTGCTTAACCTTGTAAGTGCAATGGTTGACAATGTGAAATCTGTTAATGGCATCTTGCACTTGTTCTTTTGTTTGGAAGCGTTGGCCAACAAAGAGTGTTCCAGGTGGATACACAACCATTTCACGTTCTAACAGATGGCTATACTCAGTGTCTTGTTGTTGGATTTCATTGGGAAAGTCTAAAAAGTGTGGAGGTGGGTTGTATATGATCTTCAATGTTGGTTTGAATATTGGGTTGAGAGGTAGAAGCTGTAGCTTGGTCAAATGGCTGAGAAGGTATTTGATTAAGGTCCATGACTGGACCAGTTAAAAGCTGTGTGTATACTCAACATCATGGTTGGAAGGAATATCATAAGAAGAGTGGGTTAGTGTTTTGATAACTTTGATAAATTTGGTATGGTGAAAGTGAAGGTGAAACTTGTGGTGAAAGTGAAAGTATTTATAATGGAAAGTTCTGACACCTAGAACAGGTCGTTCTGGTTTTGGAACGACTTGCTCCAAACTTGTAAGAAGGCCTAAAACCCTAGTTTAAAACGATCCGTTCTAGTTTTAGAACGGTCAGTTCTGGGTGTCAGAATGACCCGTTCTGATTTTGGAACGGACCGTTTCAGATGCAAAATTAACGCATGTTCAAGTAGAACGCCCCGTTCTAGTTACAGAACGGCCCATTCCAAAATGCAAAAAAATAATAATAAAAAAAAGTAAACAATAAATGGTGCTAATTGAATAAATAAATTTGCAAAGTTGCTATTTGAGTAAAAAAAATTTAAAAATATATTATTTGAGTAAAAAATTCACTACAAATTATAATTATCGTATAGAAATGCTTAAATGACAATTTTATTGTATGAGAATATTATTAAAACTTTTTAATTAAACTTTGAGTAATTTACGACGAAAAATGTAATCAAATTTGACTTGATTAGTCTTCAGATCTTAACTATTATTTAAACCAATCCTTTCGTCGGTTGACGTGTTCAATAAACAACAATATTCCTGCATTATTAAATTCAAGTCTTCTACTTTATGCCATACAAACCGAAGATCACTCCACTAGATCCATATAAACGTGCTCTATTTTTTTTTTTTTTTTTTTTTTTTTTTTTTTTTTTTTTTATTATTTATTTTTTAACTTCAACCGTAAGCCACTCCATCATATCCATGCATGTCAAAGTCTCCCATATTTTCATCTTGAACCTTAGGACACTCCATATTGTCCAGCTTGTTTAGGTCTCTATCTTCTTTGACTTGAACCGTAGGCCATTCTACTAAGTCTATGCCCACTTATGTAATAATTAATTAATTAGTGGAGCCTACAAAGTATGAGAAGCTTTTTAAATTCTATATACATGATGATCCATCGTACTTTTAGACCATAATCTTTCCTTTTAAGTCTTCATCCAAATTTTATTTAAAAAGTAAATTAGCGGGAGTTCTAAAAAAAAAAGTGTGGAATACTTTTAAATTGTACATCTATAGTTCTATTTTATCTATTTGTCTGAATTATATTTTTGTTTACTTATTACAATAATACTTTAAGAATAGTGATATAAATATACAAAATTTTGAAATATCTAACTTATTGATATTAACAATTTTTTTTATATGTTTTTTAGGCTTTATTATCATCACATACTTTGTCTATTTTCAATTGAACTTTAACTTAAATGGTAAAAAAATGGCTTAATTACACTTTGTGTCTTAAAATTTTATTATTTTACAAATTTTGTTATGAAGTTTTCTTTGTCATGAATTATGTCCTCAAACATTTAGATTTTTGCAATTGTGTTATTTCATTAATTACGTGTCAAAATATTAACAAAGTGCTCACATGACATATCTGACATGGATAAACTTAATGACATGGCATGTCTAATGGAGGTTTAATTGCTCTTTATGCCTCCAAACTTTTGATTTCTAGTAAATTTTGTCCCAAGTAATTTTTTTTTTGCAATTTATGTCCCCACTTGGTGCTCTATAAGAGAAATCACCACTCAGGATGCATATTTTATATTGGTTCTGCAAAGTCATCTACATCAGTTCTAAAACTGATGTAGAATAGAGTAACTTAGAAAATCTATACCCTTCTACATTAGTTTTAGAACTGATGTAGATTATGTATAAATCTACATCAATTTTCTCGAGAATCGATGTATAAATTTATATCAGTTCCCACGAAAATTGATGTAGATTTATGCATAAATTTACATCGATTCTCAGGAAAATCGATGTAAATTGCATTTTTTTTTTAAATCATACTTGTTTTTAGATTCTTTCTAATTACCTATAATGAACATATATATAAATCTTAGACAGATTTTTCATATATAAATATAATGGACAAATATTGTGCATCAAGAGTAACTTGACCACCAAATTACAATAAAAATCACACAAACAAATTATAATATACATGCTTATGTATAAATTTTAATGAAACTAATAAATATTGATGACACCTAGTAGCAGCATAACCATAAAAATAAAATGGAAATCCAAATATAATAAGGAAAGTAGTGCAAATTTGATATATATATATATAAAGCTTATCCAAATGTGTAATCGAATTTGCAAATGGGAATGATATTGATACCACACCGCCAATCAAAATCAGATGTTTATGGTACACAATTACCTGAGCAAAAAGAAAACTCATACTTAACCAGGAAAAAAAAGTAAAATTAATCCAATGCAAAGTCACAAACTTGACTGAACCAATGTGATAAATTAGACAAGTATGACATGAATATAAGAGTTATGCTCAATGTAAAATATACTTGTAAGTTTTACCAAATCCAAATTTGGCTCCAAAATAAAAGGCAAGGTCAAGTAACCATGTGTCACTATGAACAACAACTAAAGATAACCAGTCTTTTTCCTGCATGCCATCCTTAGCAAAGTTAATGCCCAGAACAAATTTACTTCCCAGTGCTCATTAGGTAATCCATATAAGAACAAATTCTCCTTCTCTGAAAGAATAAAATAACTGATATGTTAAACTCGTGCAAAATAAAATAACTATAAAAAGAAAGAAAATTAATATGTGCATGACTAAAAAAGGAGAGAAAAGATAAAACTGTATTGAATTGTACTATTAACTCATGGATTACAAGTGTGATATGTGAGACTATTAATATATAGAAAAGAAAATGGTTACAATAAAATGAAATGATTCCTATTGTAGTCAATCTCCATTGCATGTAGTTTGTTGAGAAGGAAGAGAATCACGTTTGTTAGAGTAAGAAAGGCATGCAGATACGTGTGTGGGATGTGCAAGTATGTGCAGAGCATTTGAGTTGTTTAACACTAATTATCTACCATGGATGATAGAGGATAGTAAAGTGTCATGATCAATTGAAATACAAAAAGAGGTCACTTAAGGGACAATAATTGCAAACCACTAAAAGAAATAATACAAACTTAAAATCAATGTAACTTACCAGTATCACATTGGTTGTAGAAATCTTCAACATCTACAACATGAACAAGCCAAAAAAAAAAAAAAAGAATTTAAATGTGATATAAAGGGGGATCAATGTTATTTTGTTCCTCTTCTAAATAAGTGTCTTTTTCTTTTTCTAGAGCTGTATTATTGTACAACTAATCCTTCTTCTAAATATTTGTAAATTTATTATCAGAGTCAACAACAACCAAATCAAAGTTCTATTACAAAATAATCAAAACTTCACTTGGTGCTGCAACTTTATTGGAGGCAAACTGATCAGTCACAACGTGATCCATGTCAGCACCGACTAGATTATTTCTGGTTTGGCCATATTGAGTAGCAACTTTTCTCTCATTAGCTACCACTTCTGGTGCAATTATTTCATCTGTATTAATGGTATTAGCCAAATTAATTGGCCTTGTTAAACCTGAATCCTGAAAACCATCAATCGTAGAGTTAGCATGTGTTAATCCCATCAGCCATTTCAGCAACTTGGTTTGAGCCCACATTAGCATCAAGACCAGAATTCGGAACTGTAGCAAATTATGTACCAATGCCTTTAACAACAGCCACATCTAATATTGGTACTGCATCAACTACTTCATGTGTAATTATTCATATTGATATATTATATCACATTTAAATATCCTTGAAAAAGAGGAATATAGCTATTTCTCAATGTGTTCATTAATATGAATTCTCCCCTTCCTAAAAGGATCAATTAAAGAAAACCTTAAAAAAGAAAGATAACATTTTAAAACTAGGTAAATAATACCATTATACAACCTAGCCACATAACATTAAAATGCAATTCAATAGGCAACAAGTCGATCAATCTAAAATTATAAGAACATAATTTACTTAATATCAGATACAAATGGGATGTAATATAATATAAATAAAAGAAAATGCATATTCAACATTTTTTAGGCTCATTACTTTTAATTTCTAATTTACTTTGGCAATTGGCATAGAATATTTTTCAAACTATGATGCATTCAATTTCTGATAAGGCACCAATTATGAGTGGAAAGAACCTATGCATCAATGAAACAAGCATCCTTTACTTCATATTCAATAGCTTCATCGACTTCCTCTCCATGAAGTACAACACGAACATCTGATACCAAGCTATCCTCAATGTTTTGACAACTGAGTGAGGTCAAATCAATATCTCTATCTGGAAGATATGTTTTAAATGGAATTGACCCACATGGAAAAACTTGTAACAGAAAAATTAACATCAGCAATGATATACCCAATTAGATAGAAAGAATCATGTCATTACTTCATCTTCCCATTCATATATCGGTTTAATAAATGTATAATTAAAACAAAAAAATTGTAAAATGCAAATAAAAATATTCAAAAAACTAACGATAACACTAGTCCATCTCCAGTAAAAAAGCAAATAACTATTGTTTGGAAGTGTTCATCCTTACTTGGCCTCAGGATTTCACCATGACATCATTAGAGCAGAAAAACCAAAGTCACAACCAATCACACTACATTTTATTTCACATTTAGTTGCCCCGATAACCAACCATTACCAAGAGCAAACTTAGCCAAACCACCAACTAGCTGCCTCGGATGAGTCTCTAGACGTAATCGACGACCTCCATCCACTTGCAGTCGGTGACGAGCGTTGGCTGTATACGATGGAGAATCTCATTGGTGGTTTTCGCTCGTCGCCCAAGCATCTGGCACGATGGAGGACGAATCGGGTTTGGGTGTGTGATGAGGGTAAGGATAATGAGGGTTTGGGTGCGTGATGAGGGAAAAGAGAATGAGGGTTTGGGTGCATGACGAAGGTAAGGAGAATGTCGAAAAGGGTTTGTGTGCACAATGAGGGCAAAGAGAATGTTGAAGAGAGTTTTTAGGTTCATGAGATTGTGAGGAGAATAATAATGTAAGTCTATAATGGATGTTTCCATATTACATTCGTCACGAAGTAAACCGATGTAGAATATTTGGGCTTTCAATACTAAATCGGTCGGTAAAAAAATCGATGTAGAACACTTTATATTTACATCGTTTTTCTTTAGAACCTGTGTAAATATGTTTATGTTTTTCATTTAATTACAAAAATGCCACGACATGTTAACTTTACATTGATTTTATTATAATCGATGTAGAATTGGCGATGTAGAATAGTACTTTTCTAGTAGTGAATTCTGTTTTAATATATAACTTGTGAATTTGAGTTCCATATGATTTGTTGTGATTGGTAATTGTGCTATAAATATGTCATGACTTGTGAATTGACTGGATTATTTGTGAATCTATGAGTGTCTATAGTTCTAGTAGGAAACCCTTAATTTATATAGCATAGTGAATATTGGTTTTAATTGCACGAATATGTGAAATTGATATTGCATTTGAGTAATTGAAGGTATAATAGAGTAGTTTTAGTCATTAATATATAATTTTACCATTTGGTTTGGAGTTTTGAAGTTTGAGTTTCGTAACGTGTAGTTTTTGCACATTTAAAGGTTTTTTTGTGAACTAATCTCATGCTAGGCATAAACTTATGACGCTAGACGTGATAATTCATAATGATATGTGTTTACTTTGTGTTGGGCACATATATGCCTCGATGGGCATTGTTTGACGTTGTTTCAATTTAAGATTCTTGCTGAAGGGTTTTAACCTCTCTGCACCTGGTGCAAAAAATGTTGCAGTGGGCATGATAAAGTCAGAATTAGGTTTTGTGATCTTCATAAAAGTTGTATCTATGAATGTTAGCTTTTCAATGGCATTGGAATCACCCAAAAAGAAATGTCTAGAACTCAAGTTATGATGAAGTTAATGAGCGAATGTCAAACTATTAGATTTAGGCTAAATGCTGCAGTTTTGTAATTTTTAAACACTATCAAAAGAAAACTAGATTTCCCCTAAAAATTTGTAATATAGGAAATAATCTAGGTCATTCTTCACAAAGACACAAGCACATTAAATTCGTATTTTATCATTCAATTAGGAAAGAGATTATTAATATTTGAACAATATTCAATCAACAAACAGAGAATTAATAATAAAAAATTCAACCTGAGAAATATCAATTCAGGGTTTCAATTCGTACGATAAAATTTTCATAATTCAACAACAAATCTGAATTCTCAATCAACCTAATTCAACACGAACATAATAAAAAACGTACATCTAGATCTAGATTTATGAGTTCCATCAAAACTTGAAACTCGCGAACTCACAATTTTAATAAAATTCAAGAACACTGAATAGTTGAATTAGGTGATTTAGGTTATTTTAGGTCTAAATCTAAATCTAAATTTAGATCTAAAATTAATCTTCAGTCTCTGTTCTAGATCAAAAATGAAATTTACAATCATGTAAAACAAAATTAAACCTAAATCAAAAAGGAGAAGAAGAGAAATAGAGAATTCGTTCGACAAAAAGATTGAGAACTCGAATTTTACTATAGTTCTTGAAACCTAGAATCAATTAACGAACTAGTCACACATCATAATCATGTTGCAAAAATCCAACTTGTGTAAGAAAGAGACAAAATATAGATAAAGAGAATTTAGAGAGACTTATAGAGGAAGCAACTCTAAAACCTGAAAAATGAATGTAAAATGTACATAACTAGTCTCACAACACTTATTAATAGAGAAATATAGTGGGCTTGATTATAATATTTGCAAGGCTCGACCCACTAAATCAACTAATTGCATCATTGAACAAATCCTAACATTACAATTTAAAAATAAAAAGAAAATATTGTGTACGGCCGTAACTTTGCAATGCATTTTTGGGTCATTTAACATTCAAAGTGGCCTTTTCTCCCAACAAAAAATTTGTAGAACTCTCTCTTGTTTTTCCAAGGATACTAAGAACGTCCAAGTTCGATGTTGGGAGCTCTAGATATGAAATGCACATGAAACAATGTCAAAATAAGAAAAACTTATGAAAATTAACTAAAATTTACAACTAAGACCAAAATGATTCACTAGGACAAAATCAAAGATAATATATCACAATATGATACTAATAAAAGTCAAATAAACCAGAAATAATACTTAAAAAGATATACAAAAATTGGTCTATCAAATACCCCACACTTATTCTATTGCACTCCGGTGCAAAACTCACTAATAAACCTAAAACTCAAAAGAAAGTAAATACAAAATTTCAACACTTTTTAATGAATTTCCAATGCATAGAAAAAGAGAAAGTGTACAGTAATTCCTAGAATAAAGGCTACAAACAATTTATGAGACAAAAATGACATTAAAAATAAGCAAGAAAAGAAGTCAAATTAAAGAATGATTCAAAAATGATAGAACCTCACAAGATGGTAAATAACTCTTAACTCTCAAGTGTTTAGGATTGTATTTACACTCAAACACATCACGAAAACTAGCACATCCAAACTTTGACAAGCCTCTAATTTTCACAACTTGAAACACATGCAATTAAAGATCAAAATGACTTATTTAGCTTGTAATGTGGCCAAGGTAAAGGCGGGACAAGAGAAGGATTTTAAGCTATAAGCCAAAAAAAAAAAGAGGAGCGATGGGGAATAAATTCAATAAGCATGAAGCTACCCCATGTAGATACCCAATTTCATCTGAGGTACCCAAACTAAGGACAAAGGTCTACTAGAGCGAGACAGACAACCTTTGAGGGGGCAACAGTTGGGCAGCGTTTTTGTTCTAATAATATATCTCGTTAAAAATATAATTTTTACAATCCGACCGTTAAAGTTAAAGATCAATGTATTTAGAAGGTATAATCAACATTTGATCATGATCCAACGGTTAACAAATTCTCTAGAGACCTCGCACTGCAATTGGAAAGAGCAACATGTACGGCCCCTAAGAGCCCAATAGAGCACCTAAATGGGCCAAGATAGCCTCGGAAGGCCCAGAAAACTAAAAAAAACTAATTTGGGGTACTGAATAACCATTTCCAAATTGGAACGAGTCGTTCCCAATATTGGAACGACTTGTTCCCCTTTCCAGAAAATTTTGCGTTGGGCAGCGTTTTTGTTCTGATAATATCTCTCGCTAAAGACTTAATTGTGATGATCCAACCATTGAAGTTAAATATCAATATATTAAGAAGATATCATCAAATTGTTAGCATGATCCAATGGTTAATTAATTCTCTAGAAGCCTCGCATTGCAGCTGGAAAACAAGAATCTTATACAAGACAACATTTTTTGTTATGATAGTATCTCTCACTACATACCTAATTTCAATAATCAAACCGTTGAAATTGAAGACCAATATACTTTGAGGACACCATAAAAAACCATCACGATCTGATGGTTAATGAGTTTTCTAGAGATCTTGCATGGTGCCTAGAAAAAGATTATATTTTTATATAATTTAGTCCCACATCGGATAGCTCTCTTATGTATCTGCCTCCTGGTTGGCTATATAAGAAACCCTCTAGCCAAGGGATTAGGGCACCTCAAGCTGCATAGCTTCCCCCTCTTTATATAAATCTTTGAGTGATAGTGAGCCTTTTGTAGAGCGAAAGACTGTCAAAACGCGCCCCACACGCAGTTGAGAAGATTCCCTTATTAAAGGTGCTTCGGAGGTTATAAATTCTTCTCTTTTATTTATTGTTTTAATTTATTTTATTTATTATTTTATTTATTGTTTTATTTATTATTATTTGATTTATTATTTTTTTATTTCTTTATTATTTTATTTATTTTATTTATAATTCTTATATGCAATAAATAAATAATCATGTAGATAATAAATATTTTATTAAATAATAAAAGGGGATAAGATATTTAAATTATTATTTATTATTATGCTAATATCATCACAGAGTACCGATTTAGGGCGTTATAGGGTGCCTACCTTCCTTGAACGTAACTGACTCTTGAACCCAATGCTGGCTATGAATGCCTTTATTGTAATTTCAAAATCTTTTTCTTTTTCGATATTTTGAGTAAAATATCGGTGGTGACTCCTTCAAACCTTTTCAAAAACCATAAATTAGGAAAATGTCTTTTTGAGGAACTTACTCATGTATTAAAAAGTATGACCTTGATATTAATGATATTAGGGGGCAAGGGTATGATAACAGGTCTAATATGAAAGGTAAAAATCAAGGAGTACAAAAGAGATTGTTGGACATAAACCCTAGAGCATATTATACTCCTTGCAGTTGTCATAATTTGAATTTAGTTCTAGGTGATATGGAAAATTCATGTGCTAGAGCTGTTTCTTTTTTTGGAGTTTTGCAACGTATTTATTCTTTGTTTGCTTCTTCTACCAAACGGTGGAAAATCTTACAAGAAAATGTATCTAAGTTTTCAGTTAAATCACTATCTCAAACAAGATGGGAATGTAGAATTGAAAGCGTTAAAGCCATAAAGTTTCAAGCACCAAAAATAAGGGACGCACTTGTTCAATTATCGAAAACTAGTGAAGATCCTAAGATAAAGAGTGAAGCCATGTGTTTAGCGACTTATGAGATGGAGAATTTTGAATTTTTATTAGGAATGAATATTTGGTATGATATACTTTTTGCGGTTAATTCTATAAGTAAGATTATGCAATCTAAAGATATGAATATAGATGTTGCTATAGAGAACTTAAGAGACCTTATAACTTATTTAAAAAAATTATAGGAAAAATGGTTTTGCATCTGCATTAGAATCCATCAAGGAAATGACTATTGAAATGGATATAGAGCCTAAGTTCAATGAAAAACGTAAGATTCATAGGAAAAAACATTTTGATAACATTGATAGTGATGAGATAACTCATTCTGCTGAAGATTCTTTTCGCATTGATTATTTTTTGTATATATTAGATCAATCTATTTCTTCTATTGAGAGTCGATTTGAATAATTTTTAGAATATGAAACAAGATAGATTAAATCATATTTAAGATCAACTATGCTACAAGATAGATTGAATGAGTTAGCTATATTATCTATTGAG